TGTCGAAATATTCTAGCAGCAACTTCACAGGGAGTAGAGATATTCTAGTTAATACGATATTCTAGAACTTGTATTGTCTACCATTATTTCCATGATATCGGATTGCTGCTTAAATGGAAGATTTAAATAAAGAGTGAAATTGAATCATACCTTCGAAAATTTTACAGACGACATGGCAAGTTGGTTGAACGTTAGGGAATATCTGTTTCACAGATGACGACGGATATGTTGCAAAAGTTGTAGCCACAATCCGGCTGTCTTTTCCTCGAATGTGACCTACTAAATTGGACTTGTCAAACGGGCTCTAGCTTACATGAGCAATACGACGGGTGCCACATGTAGACCGGATCTACTTATCCTTTCGAGCACCTGATATTACTCACAGTGTTTCTGGTGGGGTTCATATTCCCCAGTCCTTAGTTTCTTTCTTGTGTTTTGAAGACATGTGTTTGTCTTTTGGTAAATTTTCGCCATGACATTTTCAGTTTGTTTTTGACTTATGAGTGTGACTATCTCTTTGGTATCTTCCGCCCTTCTTTTGTAAGAGCAATCTTTTCATATCTGTTTCAAAATTTTGCAACTTAGTTTGAATTTTAATATGCTATATCTACTTAATAAAAGTTATTACCCTGTATAAACAAAACACAACATGTGACATTTTTTCACTGTATAATGAAAACAATTTTACTAGTAAACATATTTTTTACCTGAAAATAGACAGAAAAAAGTCACTAAAGAATTCACCTGTATCAATAAACTAGAGTCACTGCGAACAATGTTAACACAATGATATCACAGCCCATGTAAATTAAGAGATTTTCTAAATGAAACCTTATACAGCCCTTGGATGGTGTAAACTTTCCAAAAAAAACGTGTATGGTGTAATGGTGTATGGCATATGGTGCAATGGTAGAAAGTATATGGTGCTATGGTGTATGGTGTTAGGGGAATGGTGTAACGTGCGATCGGGAATGGTGTGAATGAATGGTGTACGCTATTTAAAACTATGCAAAATATTGAAAAGAACTGATTTTCAATTTTATACATTAATTCATAATATTGTGATCAAAATTCGTTTTTTAAAATAAATAAATAATGTTTGAGTCGCACGCTTTCTTTGAAATCAAATTGCATTATGGTGTAATGTGTAAGGTGCATGGTGCAAAGGTGTAACGTGTATGGTGTAATGGCACAGGGTGTATGGTGTAATGGTGTATGGTGAATGGTGTAATGGTGTATGGTGTTAGTGGGAAGTTTACACCATCCAAGGACTGTAAATAATTCGGAAAAAAGGAGAGGTAAACACTTGCATTCAATGTTCTAGAAATGCAGAACGTTTCACGAAACCACATTTTATGGTTTAAGAGGAGAATAATATAATTGTAAATTGTAGTGGTGGAATATAACAAGGAAAAGCCACTAAAAATATCTTAGAAGCAAAAATTAAAAAGACGTAACAAAAGTATATAATGTGAGTAATAATAAGTGAAGATGTTACACAATTCTGCCGAGTGGTTCAAGATCAGTAGCAGATATAACAAAAGAACGAAAGAACGAACGGACAGATACACCGATCAGTCTGTATCGCATGTTTCAAAATATCATTTTTTATATAGTATCGACCAAAAAATCAATTCTTAAGATACGGGTTACCTGTCACCAAAAAAGTGTTGGTAAAGATAATGCAAGAATAATTTGAAATTAGAAAAGACACGTTAAACACGTTAAAGAAATCATGAACAGCAAGTGAATGATGCACATGAACCATTTGACATAATAGTTGAAAGGTTTAATTTTGTTAGTTTTGTTTGCTGATTAGTATCTAACAAATTATAGTAGTTTATGTTATTTGTAACCTTCTTTGAATTATCTTTAAGTAAATAAACAGCGATATCGAAGACAGAAAAAACATGTGTGCATTTATATATCTATCCCTGGTTCAGATAGAAAAACCCTGTCTATTTTTACTCAGCTCGCATTTGCATTTGCATTTTTTTTTTTTTTTTTTTTACATTTAAAAACTGTAAATATTGTGTATTTTAATGATGTATTAGACGTAAGTGACACTAACCAAATCTTTCTAATGAAAGTGCCACTCCATTTGCAGCAATTGTATATGTCAGTACAATATCATTAATAAGACAAAAAATATTCTTAAAATATTTCACTTAGAATTAAAGGTTAAACTTATATTGGTACTGTTCAAGTATCAAACTTCTATCAAGTTAGTCGCAAGTTGTATTATCGTTTCTGAATGCACTACTTCTTATATATTCTCTAACTTGCCCCATTTCTGGTGAAAAAAAACTGTCCATTTTACAATGTGACAATTATTTAAGGGAAAAACCTACAGATACTTGGGTATTTTGTGTATTCTATTCCTTAATGGTTGGAAATGATTGTATCCACACTACTAACATTTATATTTAGGCATCCGAAAAGTCAACAAAAGTTGAATATAACTTAGATTTTTATACATCCTTGACAGGTTGATTCTGCAATTGTTCAGATAGTATATTCAATCAATATTATAAAAAATGTCTATAGCTAAGATTAAATAGATATAAAGCATGTATGTGCATTTATACAACATACATTAATTATTTGAACGTAAGGAATCAATTGTGCATTAGGTTTGAAGGTGTAAATATGTATTAGCTGTGTTGGATACAAAAGTAATAGCTGTTAACATTTATGATACGGAGTTCGTGCCGTCTACCCGGAATGTAACTGTTTTATGTAATTTTTTTTTATCCAGCAAAATATTGTTTTAACCATAAAGAGTGTTATATAATTCATTTTCATATAATGGTGATATTTTTTTTAACTGTCAAAGAAGTAGTTTAAAAGAGGGACGAAAGATACCAGAGGGACAGTCAAACTCATAGATCGAAAACAAACAGACAACGCCATGGCCAAAAATAAAAAGACAAACAGACAAATAATAGTACAGATGACACAACATAGAAAACTAAAGACTAAGCAACACGAACCCCACCAAAAAGTAAAATCACAAAAATACTGAACTCCAAAAACTGGGGGTGATCTCAGGTGCTCCGAAAGGGTAAGCAGATCCTGCTCCACATGTGGCACCCGTCGTGTTGCTTTTGTTATTAATGGTTGTGGCTGTTATATAAGACTGACGACGAAAAAAGTTATAATCATCGATTACCTTTTCGACTACGTTTCGATTACTTAAGTAAAATTGTTAAATGAAATCGAACATGAACTATGTTAGCTCTTTTACATATGAACAAATAAAATAGAATGTCCAAATAATGACTTAAGAGTTCTGTCAAATTGCTTTCTTCAGAACTAGTTTTGTCAGAAAGTTGTCTTATTTTCGACCAGATTTACAAGTGTAACTGCATCAACCTGCAGGTGCATTACTGCTAGTATTATACAGGCATACTCAGACGGATCTGTACACAATCTGACAAATATTTGAACGTTATTTTTACAGTTTGGTCATATTTCGTGTAAAACGGTCTTAACGTATCTGAATCAAATGCTAGAGATTTTGGTCTTGTTTATCTTGACATTAATGAACCGACTGAACTGCCTGTAGTGACTCTCGATTGGAACGGCGTTTGAAATCTGAAATAAAGTCTTAACGTTTTTTCTCTTGTGGTAAATTCAGTCGATTAAGTCTTTATCAGACCAAAATGACCGTTTCAGACTGAATTCTTGCTGCTATTGTACTATGATTGTGAAACTTTCGTAGACAAAAACGTTCACCGGGAACAGCATCGACCCCGCGGTTAAAAAAATCATCAAAGATACCTAACATATCAAAGTCATAACTTTAATCTTATAGCCAAGGATGCATACATACTGACAAAAGGAATATCCAAATCCATCAAAATCCACATTACAAGAGGTAGTTAGAACACTCTGTGCTCGATTACGATCTCTTAGAAGAGTTCCTTTACGAAGGATCAATTTGGTAAGATAATGTTTCTATTGACAGACTAAAGGTTTTCTTTGGCACCAGATTAACGGTTTACATTGCGAATGACAAAATTTCAGTGATATAGCCCACTGCACAGAGTTTGACTAATTAGAATATCTTTGTTTCATATTATGTATAAGGGACATAGTGTTATATGCCTTCGATGTTTGAATTCATTGTATAGTTGTGTTAGGAATCCATAACCTATAACACATTCGTTGTATTATTGGTAAAGGCTGTTGAAATCGGAACAGATGATAAATAAAATGTTTGTGTTGTGTTGGAATAATCAGTTATATATCACTATTTCATTAATAGATATCTTAAAGGTCAATTTCAAAATTATATTTAAAAAAGAGACAAGATACCATGGAGAGGGGTAAAAAAACTACAAGTCGTTCCTTTAAGAGCCAATCTGCCAGAAAACCATGCAAAACCGTCCGAATGTCACTTTTTCCAAATGAGTTCATATTTGTCATATTGGTGCACCTTAGTAATGTAAATAACCACACAAATTTTTTTGGGAAAATATTAAACCGATCTGGATATTTTTTGAGCGCCATGTTTTAACAGATGAAATTGCTCGAAAACAGCAAAAATAAGCCTTTTTTGGCATATTTCGCTGTTTTAAATAAAAAAATATGGTAACTTTTATAATTTTTTGATAGTTGTTCCTAGTAATACATCACTTTAAGTGTAAGAATGCATAGAATTAACAATGCTGTCTATTAAGTGTATGTATAATCTAACTGTTTCAATATGTCTTATTTAGCTACATGTCCAAAATGGCTGATTTTGGTCATCTTTCAGAGCCAAAATACTCCAAGACCCGTTTATTATTGTAAAACAACATATCTACTTGCAAAGTATAACTATATATACCCAATCAAAAAAAAATATCAAGCTCGGCAAATAATGTTGGTGTCTGGTATATGCCACAACAAAATGGGGTAACCTGCATATTCAAATTTTCTCAATTTTGCCGTCTAATTTGTAACTACTGACATATGATAGGATCTGGACTAAATAAGTATAACAACAAATGGAAAAGAATAATTAATGTTTCATTTAATACATTAAGAAAATAATCATACATAAATACAAATTATTCATTATAAATCTAGAGGCTCCCAGGAGCCGAAATAGATCGTATTGACAAATTGTGCACCTAAAATGATAAAAAACACATATTTCAAACGCAATCAATTTAAATTAGAAGTTAAACAATTCAGAATAAGTTCAGACTGTAAAAAAAAAGTTTCTTCTGACCACTTTTGCAATTTATTCTTATAATATATTGATATAGTTGTTGGATAGTAGCAGAAAACTGTGAAAATTTGTAAATTTACACATTTCAGGGACAATAGCTCATAGATGTTATGTCCAATTTTTCAAAAAAATTTTGGGTATTTAGATCTTGTCATGTTGATAGTTTTTATCAATATATATATATATATAAAACGTCTGAATAATAGTCAACGATTTTTCCCACGAGGGCACTGGATCGTTACGAGTAACGATACATGTACACAATAAATAAATTATATAAACGCCTAAAAAGTGTACACAACAACACCAATAACAAAAAAAGGAACTATAAATGTAATTATTTATAAATATTTCGGATAACAGATATCCTTCATCAGTAGTATGATTGTGATGTTGAATGAATCATATATCAGTCTACTTAAATAAAACTATAACAATCTTGAAATTTATACAATAAAAAAGTCAAACCGAACATCAGGTAAGACGCTTGCACAATTCTAAATATGTGTTAAACACGACATAGGTTATATATATATATATATTAAAAAGTTTTTAAATTTTGTATACATATATATATGTATGACACTTCTTCTAAAGTTATTAAGATGATGGTTTAAAAGTGAAATCTGTAAACAGATGATTTTAACAGACACTTTAAGTGATGGAAATTTTTTTATGACCCTTTGAGCCTAGTATGCTAACAAGGCAAGATTTGCCAGGTACCTATATCTATGTTGCTGCAATGTGGTCAATACAAACATGAAAATCATAAATGCTTCTAAAATGAAAGAACCTTAGTGAGTGCGCTCACATACCCCACGTCCCCACATTGTCATTGGAGAAATAAAATAAGTGTAAGAAAAAAAAATTGTATCAGAAAAAAAAATGAATCATTTCCTGTCAATATGCACATCGACGTAGTATGTCCTTATTATCTACACAGTTTCATGAAATTCTGTTGTGTGGTTTGAGAGGAGTTGCGATGACAAAAGGTTGCAGTAGTATATTGGGCAAATAAGTTCAAAGGGGCGTAACTCCTGGAAAAAAAATCAAATCGTAATTTCCTGTCGATATGCACATCTACGTAGTATGTCCTTATTATCTGAAAAGGTTTCATGAAATTCTGTTGTGTGGTTTGAGAGGAGTTGCGATGACAAGAAACAGGACTGACGGACTGACGGACGGACGGACAGACGGGCGGACGGGTCAAAAACATTATACCCTCCACAACTCGTTGCGTGGGGTATAAAAAAATCCCATTACTAGACGAAAAACAAATTACTTAGTCTATATATACCAGTGCAAAATTTATAAAGAATTTTGAATGAAATTGGATAGCTGTTAAGATTACTGTACCTATAATGCTCTACATCACATTCTCGGAGATAACAGAATTAAAATAAGTCATATGAATCTTCAAATTTCAATAAAGTTGAATGTGTTTTTTTTATACTTGAACGGCTATAGGTTTTACTATAAAACAAGTGTACATTAACTTTCTTGTAAAAGAAAAACCATAACATTAAAATCTCCATAAATGATGAACTGTTATTTTTTGAGACATCATCCCATGGAAGATTTAACTGATGTTTTAAAGTTGGAAAGTTTCTGTTGCTTGTTTGGTTGGTTGAAATTGTTTCTGTTAGAAGCATTATCAGTCTCCCAATCTGATGTTGACTGCTGTGAAAGTTCAGTTGTTGTTGACACTGACAGAAAGGTTAGCTGCGAGTCTAGATCTGAAAACCACAAAACATACATACATAAATCAGGCTGTTAGTTTTCATATTTTTTCATTTTCTTATTTTGGGGCCTTTTATGGCTGAATATATATGCAGTATAGGTCTTGCTCATTGTTGAAGGCCATATGGCGTATGAAGACCTATAGCTTTACTTCTATGTCATTTTTTCTCATTGGCAATCATACCACATTTTTTTTTAATTTCATATATACCACTGACAGGAAATAAAATTGACAACTTTTACTGTAAGTGGATGCAGTTACAAAATTCTCCCAACTAAAGCCAAATCATTTTTGCAGAATAGTTATTATCCACTCCTTTTAAGCATGTCCAAATAGCCCTTAACATCTTTACAACAATAAAAATTGCCTCCATTTGGTTTGGCATGTCAAATTACCTCTCAATATAATTTTACATTGAAAACAGACAATGGTGATAATTTGACCACTTTTAGTGACAATCTTTGAAATGGTGGCCATCTTTATATCTGTTCTCTGTGTCAAAGTACAGCTAAATATCAATATTCTTTAAAATCAAACTCAACAAAATTGAAAATTTTACCCTTTATTTGCTGTGTCCATCTTTAAAAAAAAATTCATTGTTTTGTTGGCATGTCAAAAGTGCTATAATTCCTTAATGTCAATTTTCATATAAAGCCATCTTGAAAATGTTTGCCATTTTGGAAGAAAAAACAACCTTACTTTGTTTAGCAAGTCAAACTACCATGACTATCCCTAATTAACAATTTTCATTAAATTAACCAGTGTTGAAATTTGTGCCATCCTTGGTGGCCATCTTGAAAATGTTTGACATCAGATAATATCCACATATTGTGCTTTTCTTTTCACTAAAGTTTCATTTAAAAAGATAACACCAGTTATCTCAGAAAAGGACAAATTTTGTGGAAGATGAAGAAAAAATGCAAGTTTGGGCAGAACATTCAAGCTATAACAGCTCTAAATTTGTAATGGGATTAAATATTTGACAAAGAATAGGTTTCTAACACAGAATAAATATGGTATAAAGATAAAGTTTAATAGATTCAGCATATCAGAGAACCCCAAGATCAAATTAAGATTTAAAATTTAGTTTAATTTTGGACCCTTTGGACCTCAATGTAAACCAATTTCATAATAGGGCCCAAAAACTAAATACAGGTTAGATTCAGGCTGAATCAGCATCTTTAAAATTATTGTTGAAATCAAACACAGTTAAATTGTGGACCCCATTTGAACCAACTTGAAAACTGGGACAAAAATCATAAATCTAAGTACATATTTATATTCAGGATATTTGATTATTTCTATTTATCATTCAAAGAACCCTAATTCATTGTAATTAGAGTTCAAGTTTTGTTAAAATTAAACTAAGTTAAAATTTGGACCCTTTGGACTTTAAAATGTGGACAAATTTGAAAACCGGACCAAAATTAAAAAACTAAATATAAAACATTTGCATTTTGTATATCAAAAGAACCTCAAGAATTCAAGTTGTGTAGAAATAAGAAAAAATTTTTTGGACCATTTTGAAATCAATGTGAACCAATTTAAAATGGGCCCCAATTGCAACATCTTAAATTATTTAAATCCATTGTTAGATTTAGCATATTAAGAACCCAAATAATGTATTTTTTTTAATTTGTTCTTGTCCTAAACATGCATGAACTATTTGCCATTGGACATTAGCATTACCAACAACCAATCAATTAATCGAACAGGTGAAATATCTTCAAAAGTACCAATAAAAATCTCCCCCTTTTATATTTGAAAAAGTAAAATCACAAAAATACTGAACTCCGAGAAAAATTCAAAAAGGAAAGTCCCCAATCAAATGGCAAAATCAAAAGTTCAAACACATCAAACGAATGGATAACAACTGTCATATTCCTGACTTGGTACAGGCATTTTCTTATGTAGAAAATGGTGGATTGAACCTGGTTTTATAGCTAGATAATAAACCTCTCACTTGTATGACAGTCGCATCAAATTCCATTATATTGACAACGATGCATGAACAAAACAAACAGACACAATAGGTAAAATTGTCAAAAATAGGGGTACAGCAGTCAACATTGTGTTATCATCTTAATCACTATAAAAACAAACAAATGTAACGAAGAAGCACAAAAAGGCATACATCAAATTTAACATCCTCATTTTGCTTATATTATAAGATTTTATATATCTATGTAAAATCCACCCATAAAGGATGGAAGGTTTTAAGTACTGGCGTAAAATCGCGCGTTTGAAATTCGCACAGGTAGACATAAAATAATAAGTATGACGGGATACATAAATACAGAGTCACGTAAAATGGATATCACAAAAAACAGACTTAACAGTAAAAGTAATACGTATTAATAAATAAAATAATTGAAATGGAATGTATGAACAGTTCATTAGTCATTGTTAGTTATTGAATGGAAACTATAGGAGCCGCCCATTATATAGTACTACAAATTAAAATTAGCAAAGTGATTTTTCAATGGGAAAACCAAGTTAACAAAGACCTGTTTAATAAAACTGATGTACAAATGTATAACATGTAATTGTATAATTATGTTATTATATAAGTGATTACATATACTTTGTATGATTACCATGTTATACAAACAGTTAAATTAATATATAAGTTAATAATAACTTACCAATATCTCCTTCTATACATGTATTTAGTTTGACCTGGCTATTGTCACTTTTACAAAAATTCATCTTAATTGAGCATTGCTTGCATATATATAGCCCTACAAATAAAAAGTGTTAAACTATAAAATAATACTTCAATTTTGTTTTACATGAAATAAAATATATCAGACAGGAAATGTAGGGTAGTGTAGCATCACTGTGCATGTACATGTAGTTTAAATGTATGTTTTTTCTTTTAAAAAGGGCCGTATAAGTAATCTACATACATTTGTACATGTACATGTAGGGTCCTAAAATTGAACCTTACAAAAGTTTGCAATGCTTTTGATTTTTTTAGTCTCCATGGCCTATTAGTTCATTAAAAAAATATTATTCTCTGGATAAAGTTGTCTAGTGTTACATGTACAGTTTGTTGTATGTAAAACATGTATTTGTAGGAGGCTTTTCCACGAGATAAAACTTTTTTTAGTAGACAAAGAGCTGAACAACTTCCAGTAAGAACTGAAAATATAACTTAGGGGAAGAGAATAAAAACCTGACCTGCTAAACGTTGAATATGTTGAAATAGATTTTGATTATTATCATGATTCTGGTCTATAAATTGATTTTTTAAAGCAGAAAATAAATATATATTGTACCCTGGTTAATAGCTTGAAAATTAAAATTCTGTCCTAAGCTGACAAGGACATAAATATTTTGACCATTCTAACCCTCCCACTTGCTTTTTTAATCAAATGGTCCCAAGACAGAACAATGTATATACGGATATATATTATTTGCTTGCACTTTGCCATAGGAAATAAATAAGATGTCTTAGAAACAGGTCAGGTGTAAAAGAATATTCACATGCCCCTTCAACACAGGAACCCCCCCCCCCCCCTTTTTTTTTCATCTCGCTAATGTATCAATTGTTGGTCCCCTAATTTCAGATTGACTATATGGAACAAATGAAAATTGATTGTAAGATTTGTACCTGTTCCTACTGGAATAACTCGTCCTGTATACAGCCTGTTTTGAAAGGGTGAAGATCCTTGGTCAGCTTTGGCTTTGCTGGAAGAGGGTTGGACGAGATGTTGACATCTTGCTTGACTATCATGTCAATGAATTCCATAAAAGTACCTGTACTTCGAGCATATTCAAAGACAAGATGATGTAACAACCATGGGAAAATAAACCACTCCTTGTCTTATATAAAATAAGGAGTCCTGTTGGAAATTCTACACCATAGTTTTCAGTATTATTCAGACTTCCTAAATGTAGATGAATGGTAGTCTGTATCTGTATGAATATGTTTGGTTACCAATGCTGGTTTCAATACCACGGTAGAGAGAGTGTCATTGATTTATTGATGGTGCGCCAGAGCAGTTTTGACACTCTCAATCTCAATTTTGGTGCGAGCAAGGTCACCAGGTTCCACTGGCTCACTTTTTTTTTTACGAAGAATGATTTAGAATACTTTTGTTTTGCTCGTTGAAATCTAAAAACACTTTTTGCTGTTCATGGACTTATTTTTCCAATCAATATTTATCATGTTTATTCACTAAATTATTGTCATGATTGTCAAATTTCTTGAATCTTGGCAGTAATTATTTTTTTTGGAAATGCTATTTTGGTCTTTAGTGCATTCAGATATCTTAAATAGTTTGTAATATGTAGATGTATAAGGCTGGGATAGCCCACATGCTCATCCTAGATTATTAAAGTCACAAACTTCAATGTAAACATTTGTCTGCCAAACCATCACTGGGAGCTGACATGTTTGAGATCTTACCCAAGGGAGATAAGTCAATGGAAGAGCATAAAAGATGGACTCCCTGGTTTCAGACAATTTATTGATTTTTGGACTTGCAGTACAAATACGTCTTATTTCATTTTTCAGACAAATTGATTTTACTTGTTCGAATGATTTTATGAGCCATTTTAGTACAATTATGTTTAGAATTTAATTAAAATCAAAATCAAAATGTGTCAATTTGGGACTAAAATCACCATTCTTCCAAGGCATAAATTAACATATAATAGTCATTTGCCAAGCTTAATATTTTGTTTTGATATAAAACATACCCCATAGTTAAAACCGATATAAGTTGCAAACAAATCCGGAATGGGTCTTGCAAGATAGAAGCGAATGAAAACCACGTAAATTCATGTATGAAATACCCCGCCTTTGTGTCCCTGCTCCTGGCAATGTGCCAAATCGTTTAAATTTTCATTTGTATTGATCATAACATAGTAAAATGGATGAGTTTCAGCTGACATTACTCTAAAAACTCAACTACCCCATTTAATATGCTTCTGGGTCATTCTTAACAGGCATAAAAAAGTTGGATTTTTCCTTGGTTTCATTATGAATTTACAGAAATAGGCTGTTACTAAAAATAGATACGATTCTGGGAAAAATTAAGTGGTCAAATTCTTTTATTTTATGTCAAGGATTAAGATGATGTATAAAAATTTGTCAAGTTGTGATTGTCGATTTGGATGATTTTCTGAATATTGCATGGTTTTCTGGCGGATTGGCTCTTAAGAAAAAAAGAATCGAAATGTGATTTTTTCTTTAAAAAGAGACTTAAGTCAACTTTGTATAGGAAGTTGGAACCATGGTTTCTTAATGATTTCTACATTTATATATTTTAATATAAACTAAGCAGATCTTAAAACTTACCTTGCAATTAGAATTTTCTGACATATCCTGAAAAAATTGATGTGTGATTGGCAATGTCGATTTCATATTTCTTTCTTTCCATTTTATTGTTAAATATTTTCATTTGCACATAAAATGGACGTTTTAAAACCTTTGTTTAGTGAGAAATTTCTCTGAAAAACACTTGCAATGAATTTCCGTTTGACAATATTAAAGAGGTCATATAAGTAGGTATTAATTTCTGTAATATTTTAATGTTATGTAAGTTTTCTCTTTATTATATATATTTGTCCTTAATTATATATGCGTTATATTTTATTGTCTCCATAATTGTCTATCATATATTTGGATTGCCAAGCTTTCTCTCTGATCTATCCTCTGCCCGTTTTATCTTCCCGTAGTACCAATCCAGACCTTTAAAGTAACATGTTAAGTGGTCCGTCTATTCTATTGCTGTACTATGCTGTACATGTTTTGTCTGTTATATTTGTTATCGTAAATAAAAAAAAACAGATTGTTGTGTTACGAATTGTAAAAAAATGGGGAATGTAATTTTGATATTTATTGTTTCATTGATGTTATATTTATTGGTGTGTCGAATATTTTTAAAAATATTTATTATCTTATAAGCTGACATATGTTTTTGAGGAAAGAAAAGAAGATATCGTGAAAATGTTACGGAGACAGCAACCGAGCATTACTGAAATAGTCAACCGAATTATGATGCTGCCCTTTGAAATTTTTGACAGAACATTTAGTTTACCATTAAGACCAATGGTTCAATTACTTTCTTCAAGGAAGCACACCGCTCTATAAGTTATTGGGATTTGTGTTGTTGCTCAATCTTTGGTTTTTTTGTATAGTATTATCAAGAATGTCATTTGTATTTTAGTTGCTATTCTGTGTGGCCGCGGTATTTAATATTTGTCTTGTCATTGACTGTTTGATTGTGACCTTGATATAGTCTGCCTATTTTTGTTGTTTTAAGTTTCCAAAGTTTTTAAATTGTATATCTCCAAAATTGAAGTGACTCGCTTCTTTCTTACATTACATCGTCTTTGTATGATTTCTTGTTTTTTCAATGACAACTTGATTATAGGAACGAGTTGAAGTTATTGGTGTCCCTCTTTTTAAAGTCTTTTTAAAGTCGGTCTCTTCTTTAAGCATATTTTGAAATTGAATTTTTAAATATGTTTTAATGAAGAAGGAATATTTAAATGATGGCTGCAACACGACACACATCTGTAACCTATCCTCTCAAATTATTGATTGTGGTTTTGACAAAACTTTTGTTATTTATGGGTTTAACAGTTCTTCGTTTAAACAAAGCTAATTTGGCCTTGAGCATCACTTAAACGATATCTTTTGTCGAAATGCACTTCTGGTGCAGTAGCATTGGTACTTATTATTATTAGTTTTACTTGTTGTTGGATACATTTGTGTTTGAATTCTGGAAATTGACATAATTTTACTCTTATCAAAATTGTTTCTTATAATTTGTAGCAGTCTACAACGTGACTGGCTTTTTGTTTCGGTAATTTTTTCAGGAGTCATCGGAAGGTGGTCCCAATGGGAACAATAGGTTATATTTACATTTAATCTACATTGAAAAGACGTCAATATCATACTCTTTTTTGTTGTATTTGCAAAGTGTTTATACGTTTTTTCTCCTAATGTCTTTTCGTCATTTATATCCTGACATTTGTTCAACTTCTTATTCCTGACGTCTTTACACCGTCTGCTATAATCATCACTTAATCGTTAGTTTGTAACGTTTTGAACGTGTTATTCCCAATGTCTTATGATCAAATTGTCAATGTACAAAATGTTATCTGTCAAATACAGCAGATGTGCCAATTTTACATCACCTTTAAACTGTCCAATACTGTAATACAGATCTTCTGAAGCTTCATTTCAACTTTTACATAGGACATCTTTTTTGTATATACCGCTAGCTCGTTACAGGCAAAATAAAAAACAAACAAATCACACAATCACCTTTAGTCAATGTCTTGCATTTAAAATACATTTGGAAATAGATTTGTATTCCTTTGACATATACCATATAATAATTCTATCCAATCTTATAACATTTTTACATAACAGCCTCGGCTATGAATTGGTAACATGGGTGAGTAGGTCCAATCCTCGCTGGATCAGACTTGATTTTAAAATTGGCATTTGTTGCTTCGCGCTCAGCTGTTATCATTAAGGAGTAAGAGAAAAAAACTGGTATTTAATAAGCCAACAATAGGTTTATAATATCAGAACGAAGTCCTCAATGACAGTTAGGAAATTAATAAAACGAAAAATGGATTTCGATTTATTAGACTATTGTCAATCTTTTCTTGCTTTTTGCGCAACAGTTACTTTTTTCAGCATTACTCTATTCGTGTTGACGAAGGCTCTCTTGTCGTTAATCATACGATTTTCAGCACAATTGTATAATTACCAAAACTTATCAACAAAACGAAAGCGAATCATTATCTAGGTCAATTGTTCACATGGGTACATGGAAAGTGATGTCCAAATCAATATTATCAATCAGGTTAATTCATCTTATTTTATGAGTTGAACAATTTTTTTCTGGTAACAACCTCTTCATATACGTGTTAAGTTTTTTATTTTAGATTTATGTATTTATGTATGACCAACACTTTAATTTTAGTGGTGCTGTACACAATAATTTAGAAAAAGTTCATGTAGAAATCTTAGGTTTAGGCCAAAACGGAAATAAGAGAAAGACTACATAATATCTGGTGTCAAAATCAAAGATGTGACATCCTGTTAATTTTGGAGTCACATTTCATTGATAAAAACAAAAATGCAATTAATAGTGAAATGAAGGTAGGATATACCATAGCTTGGCAATTCGCAATCTAGCGGTAGATAGAAACTATTTTGATTAAAGATAAAATACATCATAAAATAGTAAATGAAACTAGATATGAAGAGGGTAGGTTTATCTTAATCAATGTTGAACTTGATAACAACATGTTCACTTTAGTAAATGTATATGATCCAAAAATACAAAGAAATAGAAATGCGTTCTTTTTTAAAACAAACACCCAAATTGAATGACAGTTTGATTGAAAATGACAGGAAAAGTAAAAGAACACAAAAATTTAGTAAATATGTAATTAGTTTAAGCAGTTAATTAAGAAACATTAGCTAATAGATATATCTAGAGAAATTAACCCATATAAAAGACAGTTCACCCAGAGAAGGACTAATAATTTTAACATAGCAAGCAGGATAGATTATTCTCTTATCCGCTCCGACATAAGACCACATATTAAAACAGGAGAAATAAGGCCTGCTGCTATCTGTCACACTGATTATCAAGGAATTTCCTTAAAGTTAAGACAAAATGCACAAAGCAGAGGATGGGATTTCTTTAAAAATTAATAATAGGATACTGATCGACATGGAATATCTCATAAATATTCTGATTCAAAATTACACGCAAAAAATACCTACAAATGCTGTAGATCCTCGAGCTAAGTGGGATGTTTTTTAAAGCTGAAGTAAGGGGCAAAGTCATAAAATAATGCAGGCCAAACAAGCTGAAAATTAAAAAAAATTAAATTAGAACTTTCTTGAAAAAAATTAATGAAAGTATAGAAAACAGACAGAATAAAAATGAATAAAAAAGAAAAGAATAAAATAAGATAAATAATATTGAGAAAAAAACATAGAGACCTTTACATAAATGAAGCAAAATAAAGGGAGCGCAGGTGAAATCACGTCTAAAATGAATAGAAGAAGGTGGAAAAAACAGAAATTTATCTATAGGCCTTGAAAATCCAGAGTAAATGGTAACATGAAAAGTGAGAAACTACAACAGAATCATCTGAAATTTTAAAGTTAGAAAAAACTTTTATGATATTATATAAAAGCACACATTTAATGAAAATGAAATAAAAAAAATATATTAAAGAAACAAAAGTAGATAAAACTCTCTCTCAAAAGGAAACCCGAACTCTAGAAGGGGAGCATACTGTAGATGAATGCACGGCAGCTATCAACTCTGTGAAATTGAAGAAATTACCAGGTATTGACGCGCTCAGTGTAGAATGTTATCGAACATCCTGGAAAAGTTTAAAAGAAATTGTAGTAAAAGTATTTAACATATGCTATCAAAATGAATATATGAGTACATTCCGAAAAAATTGAGGTAGTATCTTTGTTATATAAAGAAAGCAACCCATTTTTTGGAATTACTAAAGGCCAATTACTTTATTTAATGTTGACACAAATCTGATGGCATTTTCTTTAGCATTACCTCGAAAGCCAATACTAGTTAATATCATACAAAGTGTCTATAATGGTAATATCAAAAATAGGTATTAAAGGTTTCAATATCTGTCAGATTCAAGACATAATAGACCATACAGAATATTTCAATATTAAAGGAGCATTGCTCTCCATAGAATTTTCCAAAGCCTTTGACTAATTAAAACGAAATTTGACCTTAAAAAAACTCTTTCTACAGTAAAAGATAGCCTTCAAAAATATTGTGATGAGATATATTCTACCAGTTGTGTCAATCAGATAGATGTGGATTCTTAAAATTCTAAAGATCTACTGCTAAATCTTAAATCACAATCTCTGCAATTTTGCAGCAACATTAAAACTTTTGATTTTTCTACGCTTTACA